GAAAACAGACAATCAACCAGGCATTAAACAACCCCATCGAACTGCAACCGATGAGTCCAGTGTGTAACAGAAGGAGAGGGAGAAGAAGGTCTGATGAAGATCAGGACATTTAAACTGACTTTGAAAAATGTCATCTACATACAAATGAAAAAGTGCAAAACGAAAGCGAACTTGAACCATGGCATTTACACTAACACATCTGTGTTTCTATACAGAAAAAACTCAAAACAATGAACTTCAATTATAGAGTTACTTAATACAAATCGAAAGTAAAGTGTTTTGTTTGGATAATATAGGTTGTAAACTCAAGCAAGAGTTATGGAAAATATGTACCAGGTTCATCCGTAAACTCTTGAGTTTGTCCAGTAATCTGACAAGAAATATTCTAAAATGTTCTAATATAAGATGTAGAACACTCTTACGATTTCTGATTCAACACTTTTTATTCTTCTCTGATAAGGAATAGAAGAGTTCAGTAGATATAAGTTAATAAAACAGAAATAAGTCCACTTCTAGCAAAGGTTGATATTGTACATAAAACAATATATCAGCAATCTTGAATTAAGTTGTACTATACATGATATTGCAGTAAAAAACGATGTAAATATATTTTAATGCTTAGCAAGAAAGCAGTCGTAACTGCTACATTTACCTACTATATATTATTAAGTGAACATTACTAAGGCCAAGAAGTCCTCTTCTTCTTCAGCTCTTTAAATTTTATCATTATTACTATTATTATAAGGATTATTATTACTATTATAAGGATTATTATTAATATATGGATAAGAATAACATAGGAGTCACTTTAAGTGCTAAATGTTAAAAATAAAAACCTTTGAATCGTTGTCATTTGTTCTTCATTATTTTCTATCGTTTTACGCTTTAGTTTTTTTAGTTTATTTTTCGTTTCGCAGTTTACATTTCCTTTTCAGAATATCCATTTTCTCGTTCTTCCTTTTAGTTTTTCATTATCACTGTCTTTGTTCTATTTCCACATAATGCTTCAAAAAAGAAGTACAAGTTGTTTATTTGCACGAATTTATCTAGAAATCAACATCGATTGGACGAATTCTTCCTTATGAATGTTTCCTCAAAAGCAGTTTCAGTTCTTTCAATTTTTAATCCCTTAGTCGTGACGAGAATGCTTAACACACACCTGTATCCATTGCTGATCATAAGACATTAATTAGAGCTACGGTCGTGTTGTTCAATTCTTTGAACTATATCATTTTCATTATATGACTTAAAGTGACAAAATGGATAACTGCTAAATGTTCGAAATAAAACCCTTTGACTGAATTGTTGACACTAGTTCTTAACAATGTTCTTTTTTTTCTAGTATCTTATTTTCTTTATCTCTTCTTTTTTTATTTCCCCTTCTTTCCTTCTCTATCACTTTTTTTACAGTTTTCAAATAGCGTTTTCCAACAAATAGCCGTACAATTACTAACATAAAGTCGAGAACTTCCTTTGAGATAAATTTCAAATATCATTAATTTCAAATATCAAGTTTTTCTATTTTGAAAATTCATTCACAATAACACACATCTGTANATGTCCTTCCAAAAATGTACAATTTGAAGGTGGAGCACTTCCAATAGTCCAGAGTCCTATCGTACGTACCACTGATGTAAGAAGGTCTATCAGACCGTTCAGAATGTTGGTCTAAAGGGCATTGCTTTAAACGTAATAGAGGTCTAACGTACGTACCACTTATGTGAGGTCTGTCAGACCGTTCAGAATGTTGGTCTAAAGGGCATTTCTTTAAACGTAATAGAGGTCTAACGTACGTACCACTTATGTAAGGTCTATCAGATCGTTCAGAATGTTGGTCTAAAGACAGGTCTAACGTATAGTACTGACTTCCAAAAGAGGATAGGTCTAGCACTACAGTAGACAGTACCCCTAATATACATCTATAAGACTTAGGGTCTATCAGACGGCATTGCTAACAAAGAAGTCTAGCGGACACAGTACCTCTAACGAACACTATCATACCTCTAACGGAATGGATGTCCAATGCACAACACTTTTAACACATTGAACGTCAAACAACCTGACTACCTCTAGCACACTGTTCCACTTTCTTTGCTCCTCTAATTATATAAATTCGCACTTAGTTTAGTCTCATCTCTTTACTCCGACGAAGGATTAACGTCCGAAACGTCAGTAAGTTATTTCACCTACTTTTTTACGGTGTTCAATTTATCTTTTTTCCACAACTGTACCTCTAACACAGTAGGTGTCTACTAATACGTTGTAATAATTTTATGAAACACAAATAAAACTTTCTGATTATCTCTGTGATTTAAAACTAACGCACTAAATTACATTTACATTAACATAGATCACTCACCAAGGCTCCGTCATTGCAACCTTGTCATGTTCTTCTATTCTCTTCAATTTTCCATTCAGCTTTAGACCATGCCTAGCACCTCTAAATGAAATAAAAAACGACAACGATTGAGACTGATTGGTCAATTAACAAGAAGAGCTGACGAGAGGAACCGTGCAAAAGGGATTTTTAATGTCCAAGTAAGCTGACAGATGGGCATACAAAGTGCTGAGCAGACATGTTGGTTCAAGAAAACTGAATAAAYGAATGAATGGATGTTGAATACAAATTTCTTTGATAACAGAATTTTGAGTTTGAAATTTTCCTATGATTTTTAAATCAAAAAAAAACTAAAAGAACTTTAGGTTTGTACTCAAACTTTAAACACGCCTTAAGYTCTTAAAACATACCAAAAGAGCAAATATTTTGTCTCAAATTTTCCTAGATTTTTAAGGAAAGGTTCAACCTTTTTTGTTCATCTATCATCATCATTTAAATAATAACAATATTACAAATCAGTACATAATKTAGAAATTAGAAAATTAGAAAAACACAAACTTGTGAGCAGTTCTTCCTCCACATTTCTTAAACACAATATCTTCAGCATGTCTGAAAAACATATTAATTTTAATTAATTGAAAAATTGCTGTCATCAAAAGTCTGAAGCTAAGTGAAGTACACATTACAGACTGAATTTAGTCCATTCTGACTCTGGAAAAGAATAGCCTGTGTACATCCGTTTCTCACCCCTCCAAAAAAATCGAGGAGGGGTGAGAAACGGATGTACACAGGCTAGAAAAGAACCCATGTGAGAAAGAATAAATGATGAAATTCTTTCAATGATTCAACTTACTCAGTTGAGAAGTCTTTTTCTACATCAGAATCAGATTCATCAGAATCAGTGTCTAATTTCGATGATGCCGAGGCCTGAAAGAAATAATATTCTCTTTTGATCCCCACTCACTCGTGAGAGATTTTCAACACAAGAAGATAAAATTCATATCTCCAAGTGACCATGTAATATKCTGTTTATCATTAAATAAGTAAGCAAATTATATGGAGGTAAAAATAATTGTAAAATAACATTTTTAACTCCAATATATATAGAGAAACCTTGAATGTGTTATTTTCAATAGACCCCTTGCATGTGACGTCAAAGCAGCTTCATYTGGAGGRCAAAACAAAAGATTTTTAWCCTCTTGGGAACTAGAATCCATTGTTTTGTCCTCCAGTTGTGGCTGCATTCCCATGAACTGCAAGGGGTTTATAGTGAAAATAACAACTTTTTGAAAGAGAGAAACAATAGATAATTATATGATAAAGTTCTTTTAATCATTATCGTATGATAAAGTGAGTCTGTTCCTTAAAACACTTGAAACTGTTAGATTTAAATGTGTTCAAATGTTAGACCAAACAACATACTGTGCATTAAGCTCAGTCAGATAGTTTTACATTAAATACATGACTAATACCTTGACAAACCTTCCATAAAGAAGAGGTTTTTCTGAGTGTTTGTTKGGTCTTTGAGTACTAATTGGAAGATACTTTGAATCACTTTTGGAAACTTCAATACCATCCTGGAACACATAATATTCAACTTTATGAAAATCATGATAAAACTATTAGAACGAATCTAGTGATTGRTTGAGATAACAATGGAGAAACAATTCAACTCCATAACAAGGAATGTTCTAAGAAGTGAAGAACATATCCAAAATGTTCACCTATAAACAATGCAACCTAACCTAACAATAGAAGTTCAATAAGTGAGCAAATTTTTGGAAAACTGAGAAAATTTCTTCATCAGTTTCCAAAACAAAAAAAAAAAAAAAACGAAAAAACAATGAAAAAAAACAATGAAACCTAACAATAGAACAATAGAAACAATAAATTATGAAAACTGATGAAGAAATTCTCTTAGMCGAGACTTAATTTATGAAAGATTGATTTCYATAAAAATGATTTCAAGATTCTATRAATATTTATTCACTTTTTATTTTGTCAATGTTGGATTACTCACCTCTTTCTCACTAACAACAATGGATTTTGCTGTTTTATTGAAGACATGATCCCACCAGTGAAACGTAAACTGCTCACTTATCTTGTAACCCACCTATCAAAGATCAAATGAAATTCATGTGATAAAATTATAAAGCAATGGTGAATATCAACATGGTTTAAGCTTAAATCATAGTTAATAAAGGGAATGGTTTGGAAACCTTTTGTTGTACTTCTTTTGTACATCTTTTGTATGTATTTTGAGGTTGAATCAGTCRAGACCGTGCACAACTTTTTCCTTACGGACGATGGAAATTGGAAAATGACTAAACATAGACACCCTCTATGAGATTCTAAAATGAAATATTCCAATATTGGTTAGAAATCATTATGCATTTTGAAGAAATAGBCAAAAGAATATTTTTCGCTCTATTCATTCAGATGTGACCAGTTTGGCTAAAACAATCAGTTAAACAAAAGATTGTGCACTGTCACACTTGGAAAAAAAGTGTACAAAAACCTACAACAAAAGGCTTCCTAACCATTTCCCTCTACAAACTATGCTTAAATTATGTAGAARTTTGAAGCAATATGAAAAAATAGACTAATATCATCAATGCTGATTAAAAAAATGACTCTAAAAACTGAAACTTTGTGTATGCAACTTAATTCAAKCTTTCCATCCAACATCAGGGATGTCAACTCTCACGGATTTGCCGGGAGAATCACGATTTCAGATCGAATCTCCCTCAAAATTTTAGCCCTAAATATCCCGGATTCGCACGATATTTTCAAAGAAAACCTTTTTTTTTATTTCTTTTTTAGTCTTTTATTTTGAGAGGGTAGCACGTAATAGTCTCTAGACTAATAAACTTGTGGCCCTCTATATATTCACTCATACTAACTACCTCAACATTCATTATTTTACTACACGACACTCCTCACAGCTAGTTTTTGACTGAGGGAGGAAAACCAGCGGACCTGGAGAAAAACCCTCGGAGCAAGGAAGAGAACCAGTCTACAAACTCAAATCACATATAGTCCCGGACCGGGAATCGAACCAGGACCACAGCGGTGATAGACCGGCGTTTTAACCGCTCGGCCATCCTTGCTCCCCTAAACCTTCAATAAATTATGTCGCGTTTGCTCAATCTGTCGATACAGGTACCATATTTTCAACGAAACACCTACAGGTGTTACTTACGTAGGTGCGCGCATGAAAAATATATAAACTGATTATGCAATGTCTAATACCATCGGTTGAAACAGAATATAATGTCATTTGTAACATCATGAATGACGTCATTCACATCAAGTAGCGTYATACACATAATCTCTGCAATTTCTCCAGATTTATTAAATTCGGGGGTTGACGTCCCTGCAGCATTCTTTCTAACTTCTCAATTCCACCCCCACCCYCTGAGTAAATTCTGATTGGTATAAATCTCTTAAGCCTGATTTACATGGTACGATTTGTCGCGCTACTTGTAGTATACGATTTTCCTACTACAAGTCGTAGGATTTTAAGCAGTGGTTCAAAACCCTACTACAAGTCATAGGTTGCGTACGACTGTTGTAGACAAGTCGTAGGGGCATTTACACTGCGCGATTCAAGTCGTATACKACAAGTYGYGCRYGACAAATCGTACCGTGTAAATCAGCCTTTAAAAGCATTTACATGTATACCCCTTGTGTGTCATTCTTGATTCCAACTTTGATAGCTTCTTTTATGCCATCCTCTTCTTTGCCTAATCCTTTACCTAAAAATATAAAAAATATTGTAAAAGTTAAGTGTTGAGAAGAAATCTAGGTAAGTAATAATAATAATAATAATAATAATAATATAATAATATGTGGTATTTATATAGCGCCAATATACTCTGAGTTCACAGGCGCTTCACATGTATTCACATGTAGATCATTTCACACGGACCGCTGTTTAAGGCGCAATTGGCAGCCACGCGGCTTACAATCGTAAGCCTAATCTTCCACGAATCTCAGTCATACATCTTGGCTTTTACTTCGTGTACCGGAGCATAGATTATGCAATTTAATAGAAACAAAGGGTTACAACAACGGAGCAGAATCTAATACCCCGAAATACAATGAATAGAATAGTTCCGGTACACGAAGAAAGGCCATCTTGCTATTCCTCAAGCAATCTTTATGAATTTTTGAAAGTCCACTTGAAAATCTATCAGCTATTTCACTTATAAACCGATGATTGACTACGCCTCCCAGCAAAATCATTTTTCTGCTGCTGTTTGTGTTTCGACTTTGGAAACCCACGTGCGAAACATTAAATGCGACCTAAAATCTCAGTTCCATGTAATCAAAACTTTTTTTCACTCTAAAAATCTAGATTATGAATACCCTTTTTATGATTTAAAATTTCTAATTTACAACATCGCAAAATACCTTCTTTCCAGCCTTGTTTTTCTAGCTGTTCGCGAGCAAATCCCAAACCCGCCATCTTGTCGATATTTCACAACAGTGACACAGGAATCCCACGTAATAAAAAAAACAGGGACCCCAATATCACAAATATTTTTAATAAAACGCAGATCCCTCTCAAACGCACTTTATTTCTTTTAAAACTTTAATACACTACTTTGTAAAGGAAAGTTCAATATACACAAGTCTATTTGTAGAGAATRTTTGAAATGTATAGCAGGTATATTGTTTCAGTACTTTCAAAAAAAAATTCAATCCAGTTACACCTTTACTATTACTACATGTCTTAAACCTTTTCATCATTTTCACTTAAATAAAATTACTCTAATGCTACACGTATTTACAATGAGATTTTCTTCACGTCTTGCCGAGAAAAAGAAACTTTTTAATTTTTCTTTTCCTTTCTATAAGGCAAACGACTAGATGGCAAAGATTTTCAGTTCATTCTCAGACTTCACTCTTTTTGCGCATCACAGAAATCCTGATGAATCCACAGGGCTTCTCTTTGAAAAAGAGCTACATTCCCTCTTTTCGCGCATCACAGGAATCCTGATGAATCCACAGGGCTTCTCTCTCTTTGACAAAGAGCTACATTTTTTGGTCAGACCTGAGTCTTCGCTTCTGAAGTGCTGCGGCGGCAGTGCCAGGCCGTATACCATGTGACAATGGACTGACAGGTGATTGGGTGGAAGGCTGAGGATTTTTATCGGTTTTGGATTCAGGAGGAGATCCAGGTGTATTTGGTAACACTCTGAATTACAACCATTAATAGAATCAATCAAATGAAAGAGTGAATAAAAGAATGAGAACAAATGAATGAACAAGAAAACGAATCCGAAGGATTGACAATTAAATCAATCAATCAAAAATGCCTTATCAGGGTACAGTCAACTCTCGCTATTACGGACACCCTYGGGACCGTAATTTAGTGTCCGCAGTAGCGAGAGTCCGTAGTAACGAGAGTTTCTTTCTGTCATTTCTTTGTATTTTTCGTCGGGGCTTCAGCATCTTAMTGGCCGTAATAGCGAGGTGTCCGTAATAGAAAGAAATGACTGAAAGTAACTCTCGTTACTACGAACTCTCGCTATTACAGACACCCTTGGGACTGTAATTTAGTGTCCGCAGTAGCGAGAGTCCGTAGTAACGAGAGTTACTTTCAGTCATTTCTTTGTATTTTTCACCGGGGATTCAGTAWTTTACTGTTCGCAATATCGAGGTGTCCGTTGTAGCGGGGTGTCCGTAATGCGAGAGTTGACTGTAAATCAAGGCACTGTGCTTTTATACCTATATCGTCTCAATGCTTTTACAGGTGCAGATGATGACCTGGGTTCAGTGTCTGTTGGAGAGCTACCATGTGGTAGCCTGGAATCTAGTGMTGAYGTCGATTGGTTGTGATTACTGTCTAGAGTGACGTTGTCTTTAACAGAACTTCTAAKAGTATCAACAGCCTGTTCTGTAGATGCTTGTCTATACCTGCAAAATACAATATTCAAATATGCAAGTTTTGTATCGTGGAATAGTATGCACTCTCTTTTTAATTTGCATAATAGCCGACTTACGAATTACGCATCAATAGTCACATACAAAGGAATCAAGACGAGGCGCCGTGCTTTTTTGTGAAAAATCTATTGTCTTTAGCACGGCGCCTCGTCTTGATTCCTTTGTATGTGACTATTGATGCGTAATTCGCAAGTCGGCTATTATCCCTAATGCCTTCTTTTCAAAGGGTTAACAATACAAATTTTAATGACAATTAAAATAGAGAATTCAGAGACAAAGACAAAAGAATGTACTTCCTTTAATTTTGAAAGTGTTTTAGCAAGAATTTAAAAGAAACAGAAACAACTTCATGAGTACCTTCTAAGGCGAAATTCCCCTGATGTATGTGGTCTGTTAAGATCACGTCCAACCAAAGGTGCACTAGGCAAAGATCTTCCCATTGGAGAGGGCCTCTTGGAGTTACTTGGAKGGGGAGGGGTGGGGGAAAGTGAGGGTCTTGGGTTTGAAGTTGGTGGAGAGGGACTTGTTTCAAAAGCTTTMGTTCTTCTTGGTGATGAGAAGGGGGATTCACTATAGCAAAATAAATGAAATCATTATCAGTTTAATGTTATTATCATTACGATAATAAATAACATAAAGCTTTAACTGTTAGTTGTTGATTCACCTTTCTGACTGACTTGATTCAGAATCAAAACTTGTTGAAGGTAGTCTGTGATTGTCGTTGATTAACCTTAAACAGTTGTGAAGATTTGATGAAGTTTTATTACGTAATTAATCAATCAAATTGTTTATTTATTTATCCAACCATCCTTATATATATTGATGCATCCGATATGAATTCATCTCTCAATTGTTCATCATATTCCCATCCATTCACTCATTCATCCATTCATATATCCATCCATGACTTCAATCATCCAACATTCTATCCCTCCCATCCATCCATCCAATCATTCATTCATCCTAGCATCTACTACTTGATTCCTTACTCTGAAAATTCTTGCCTCCACTCTTTCAGTTCATCAAATATATCTTTTTTTGATGGAGTGTTTTCATGTTCTTCCTCGTAGCTTTTCTCAGGAACATGTATTCGTGSTTCATTGGAGAATGGAGAGGTAACTGTCTTATCAATATTCTGCAATACATTGGAATAGTGAGTGAGACTTCTCTCTACAACATTACTAAGAATGATATTCGGGATACCTGTGTTAATACTGGAGTTATCCCAGCATAATCTTGTTGCGGTTATCCATCATTCTGTTTGTTACAAGTCAATTGATGTACAACCAAAAACCGATAAGGTTAGTACCAAGCGTCGGAATATTCAAAGCTCATTAAAAATACAAAAATGAAAGTTATGACCATATTTGGAAAATTCTGTCATTGGATAAGAGATTCAAGGCCCGTTCTGGTTGGGTATAGGTAAATYTAATTGTTCCAAATAAGGTCAAATAAGGAAGTGAGATGCAAATTAGATTTGAATATTCCAACGGTTGGCACGGCATTACATGTTTCAAGTCCCTTATAGGTTTCTGGTACAACTAAACTAGGAAATGGATATAAATGATCTATGATGGACAACTAGAAACAAGATTTGGCTAGGTTAGCCCCAGTCCTAACACAGGTATCCTGAATATATTTCTAGCTAATTTTAAAAGATACACAGATTGACGAAGCTCATACATGACTGTGTTTAAGCACAAGGAATGAYACAGTATGGTTATTGAACTTTGCATGATGATAATACCACAAGAAAATRCAKCACWGMACTGCACATACACAAAATTTCACAGATAACTGAAGGATTATGGTCATCTCACTCCATTGYCATCTCGYCCCCACTATACCATCTCGCCCCCACCATCTCGCCCCCACTAWGSCATACCTTACCTACCTTTCTTCTTGATTTAAGAGCCTTTGATATGTTACCACATATCACRTCACCAGACCCTAGACAAATAATCACCGGTTAAGTATAAAGAAGTAAAGTAAGGAACTATTAGTTGAAGCATGACATGATATGAAAACATATTCGATAGGCTTGAGTTGATGAACAATTATTGGATAGCCCTAGGTATGATATCAACATTTACTGATTAGCTGGAGAATTTATATGACTCAATCATTTGTACCATGAGTTAAATCACTGCTATCATCTCCCATCTGAAATATGCCAGTCAACTCTGATTGGCTACCAGAAGAACCAAGAGAAGATCCTGGACGYTGTCCAAATGCACTTCCTGGCCTTTGCCTGGCAGAAGTTGGTCGTTGTCTTGCTGCTGATGCTGGTCTTTGCCTTGCTGMAGCAGTTTTGGGTCTTGTACCAGATGATGGCCTGGAGTTGGACTGTTCTGTTGATAACAAAAAATAGTGATGATGATAATGATGCTGATAATATCTTCATCATCAAGGAGCGGAGCTTGCTACAATTCCTTCTCTCCCCCCTGGATGAGGTACCAGTCCTGTATAGGTTCCCTCCCCCTTGAATTTCATCAGTGAAATTTGAGCTTTAGTGCGCATTGTGTCCACCAAATCACATGGCATTTTTTTTGTCCCAAAAAAAAAAACAACAAAAGTTACAAAACAATTACCATTGTTTTCCTGTTCAGTATCCATAGCTTTCAGTCCATCATTTATCAGTTGCCATTCTTCTTTCAAGTGATCTGGTACTTTAGCAGTCTTAGCTGACTCTGGCATGTCACGCAGGACTGGTTTACCTCCGACCTTCTCTATCAGCAATGGCTCATCGTCCAGTACTTTAATACCTGGTATGGCCTGGTGAATTGCCTTACGATACTCATATCCTGCCATTTGCTAAAATCATAAATGGGAATAGAAAATGAGAATGGTTCTTCAATATAACTTCTCTGCCTTTCCCAAGCCATAGTGGAAAAAAGTCCCCTACCGGGAGAGGAGTAGGGAACAAATGTACACCAGCCATACTTTTCCTGTTATAAGCAAAGTTCTCACCTCAGCAGTAGAAGATGGGTGTGGTGCCACACACACAGGATTGCCCTCCAGGTTAAGACTTTTGAGTGATGAACACAGTGTCAAGAATTCAACTTGTGACAGGTCGTCAATCAAGTTCCCTTCTAAGTCAAGAACCTCTAGGCTATCGAGCATACTAACTGGACTTACATCACTAATGTCATTAAATGCTACATAGAGTTCCTGTGTAGACAAATGAAAAGTGAATAAATGGGAAATGGATAAATGGGAAATGCATAAATGGGAAACGGATAAATGGGAAATGAACAAATGGGAAATGATTAAATGGGAAATGGATAAATAGGAAATGAATGGATTGAATACAGCTAGATGAAGTATTATATAGCAAGTACAAACAAGAATATGTCGCATTGAGTGACTTGTTACATCTATAACGACCACTTACAACAAGACATGAAATTGAACTGATRCCATCCAAATCCGAAAGTCCACATCGACACATCCACAGTGTCTTGAGATTTGAAAGGGAAGTTCCCAAGTCCCTTTGACAACAAATCAATAAAACAATGAGTCAGTCAGCCAATGAATCAATCTTAACACCAAGAAACAATTCATTGGTGTGTTTTTCTTACCTTACAGTTGAAATCATGCTATTTGACAGCTTTAGCTGAGTTAAATTTGGAAGTAAACCCCCTAGAATTGCATATTCAACAATTTAGAATAACTAATAAGTAATATTATTCAGAGCAATACAATTTTCTACAAAGAAAAATTACAAAAATTAGAAGTCTTACCAAAATTTCCCAGACTGTTATCACTAGTGTTGACTTGCATTTCCAGAAATGTAACATCATTGAGRTTGTTCACCCCTGTTAGTGATTTCTAGGAAAATAATGCCAAACAAATTATTTCAGTATACAAGAACATAAAACGTTGCAAAAAATATATAAATATTTACATATAGAGCAAAATTTGAATGATGATTGTGTTACTTTGTATTAGAGTTGTAAAGAGAAATGTCATGCTAATAAAGGATTTTGTAAGTACATGTAATATATAAAATATGAGCAGGAGASCTTTATGGGCATTTAAAKGTGCAAGAGAGCAGTTTTAAGGCCCATAAATGTCTGACATGAATATTTTATACAGCTTATCAATGAATGAATTTGATAAATATAGGGTATTAAATAGTCACTCTATATTATCTRAAATACCCGCATAAAATGTGATTTTATCAGCGCAGTGTGTATGTCCGTTATTGACATGCTCAAATGAGCCAATCAGTGTGCATTAGTATTCACAAATATGATTATCAAATTCATTAATAATTCATAAGGTAAACACAATGGAAAATCATTGCCGTGACCGCATCTTTATATGAGCAAGAGATTTGACCTGATTTGCATACGACTTTAACTTCGATTTTCTCTTACAAATGATATTTTATSCTGAAGTTTTTTTTTTAAATATGCTTTACCTTATGTTGGAATTTGATAAGCAATATAAAATCTTCGCGTCCGACCTTTATGGGCTATAAAACTGCTCGTTTGCAGCTTGCAGTTTTAAATGCCCATAAAGGTCACACGCGAATATTTCATACACACCAGTTTATTAGGCGAAAGAAATTCTTCCCACAAATTATCAGAATCTTCATCCTCATCTCTTTTTACAGGTTCTGGATTAACATTCCCATCATCAAATTCCCTTATCCTGACCCCATTATATGCACCACGGCGGGTCACATGATTTGTAATGTCCTCTATTGTTAACACATCATCTTCCATAACTTTCCTGTTTGGATTTTAGATAAAGAAAGCACATGTAAATGATTTAGAAATATAGATATCTTAAACTATCCTCTAGCATTYTTCTATCTAGTTCAATGTTGTTAGAATAAGCTTACGCATAATAACTTAATTAACATTTACATTTACATTGTAAGCTATTAAGCTAATTTATTGGATTATCTAAGATCTATTTATAGTATATACGTTAAAATTATCATTAATAGAGCAGCAGGCCGTAAATTCTGCAGCACAGCAATCTTATTATATAAACTCTTACACAAGCTTATTATCAAACRTATTAACGTTTTGTTTTCAAAACAACGAATTGGTTTTGCTTATTAAACTATCATTATTACTCTAGTTTAGACATAAAAGAAGTATATATTTCAAAATAATATCATAGAAGTCTTTAAATAACAATCTCGAGCATAAAAAGACAAAATTTTCGTGAAAAAATAAAGGGATTACAGCGATTTTGGACGGTTGCTACCATACAACAACCACTTCCCAACTTACTTCGACCTTGGATACGTGTAGAATTCTTCAGCGCAGGCCATTCAAACTTCGTAAGAACCAAGTACAGATATTTTTGCAGCTACTCAAGAAAGATCACTTGACTTAAGCTACTTTAAGGGCCTAAAATTGCATTTATTTCAGCTGATATCGAAAATTATATTAACCGCCATTTTGTTTTTCGCGGTAAGCGCGCAAAGGGTTATGGGATATGTATACGACGGGAATATTGTCAGCGGTGTCTGTTAGCGTGACAGACAGACAAAATGAAAACAAAAAAGTCGAAAAGAGAAAATCTATAGAGGAAAAAAAGACAACTGCACAGAAAAAAAAAAGAAAAGAACAAAAAAAATAGAAAGAAGAAAAGAAAACAGGAAACAAAAGAAATAGAAACATTCAACAAGAAAAAAGAGAAATTCCAGCACCAGGATTCGAACTCAGGACTTTCACTTTAGGAAAAGATGCACCCCCCTGAATATATAAGAAATAATGAAAATGAAAAAATGAAAAAGATGGGACGATTCCCCCGAGACATTCTATGAAGCTGAGGCGGCGAATCGGCTTACGATACGGTTAGAGATTTCGGCTCTTCCACGCTATCCCGAGTGAACATAAAACTTAGTCTTAACCAAAAGGCCAGGGAGTGAGGGGGTAGCCGCCCACTAGAGCATACCTTTAGCTACCCTCTTAGACCATCGTACTATGAGGACACTTATAGATCTAATATCTAATTTGGGTAGTCTATTCGGCGAAGTTCTATGCTAATATATGACGTCACCAAAATCCTTAGGGAGCAGCGAGCCAATCAGAGCTCAGTTCAGGAATAAGCAAAAGATACAGGGTTTGAATAATCATCCTTCAGTGGATTTATTATTTGATGGGGGGTGGGGATGGGTGCTGGGTGCTTGTTTACGCCCCGATACCGATGTACTCGCTGTAATGTGTCGGCTTTTATCGAGCTGTTAAATTGTCTTTATTGTTTTCCAATTCATCGCAGGAAAATCTGTACAGTTCTCATATCAGACAGACATTTCTGGTATTCAAGTTAACAGCACAACAAATATCTCTTGAAATTCTTAACATTAGTGGTTTACAGACCAGGATTGGCCAGGCAGATCACTAGCGGTTGCTAAAGATTTGCCGGGATTCGCTATGCCAATGGCACACAATGAAGACCTAATGAAACTCCAACATTACACTCGAACGATTTTCGTTCTTGATGCTATAAAAGTTAACAAATGGATTAATATTAATTGCAAATAATTATTAAATCTATTTATAGTGAATGTTAACGATTGAAGAGAATGAATGACCATCCGTATAAAATTGTTAAAGAAATGAAGAAACACTTAGCAATCTTTGGGTTTTATTCAAAACTACAATCAGGCGAATWAGAGTAATTATAAGATGAAAAAATACAGTTTAAATAATATAATATAAACATTTTGTCGAACAAAACGCGTTCGAGAATATATATACGAGCAAACACTGAGCAAAGCTAAATCAAAGCTCTAAGGACTCCTGGATAACAATTCCTTTTCCCCGAATCTTTCARATTGATATGTTTATATTAGGCAGGCAAACAGGGCGCCCCGCGTCAGGCCCCTACGGGAGAAATCATCAACCATAACAATAGGTTCCTTGGCCCCTGGGAATCGCTGCCTGGTGTGTATTTATAGACAACGKAATGCTTGATCACAACAGAACTTGATGCTTTTAGTTCTTAAAGATAGTGTATTCCAAGAGCGAAATGCATTGTGGGTCRTTCGATCACCGTTCACCATTCAAAAGGAGGAATTGCCATTTTGTAAGGAAGCAAACTCRAAGTTTAAATCTCTTAATGGCCTGAGTCACATGCAGTCATCGACTGCCTATAATTTTAAGTAGATTTTATTTATCATGTTAAATATGATTCAAAACATATGATGTTCATGAAAATTTTCTGCACGGCCATATTCTATTTACATGGAAGTAGAGTTTGTGTAGAAAAATATATAAACAATGAAAAATACAATATAAATTAGAGGTGTCTGCAATACAGAGGCTTTCTAATCTTGACAAAGTGCATCTATGGGCTGCATGAATACTAGAAAAAAATGTATATAACTGCAAAGTGTATAAACCAATTTCACCCAGCTGTCATTCTTTTTTCTGTAGAATAAGATGACAAAAGATTAGCAATGTTTCTTGCCTGGCCAAGACCACTCCTTCCAGCTCCAACACATAYAGCATAAATGATCCGCTAACCTTCGACGTAGGACCTAACGTTTTCACTCTCGACTTCACAACCCCCCAGCCTCTATTCCAATGGTCAGTTAGCATTAAGCAAACACCTTTATAAGCCTCACTAAGTTTTTCGCAGAAGGCCACAAAGCATTGCGMACGAAGTAGCCTGCCCAAGGGACTCTGGTACGTTGCCGCAGTGCATCTCTGGGATAGCTTGAATTTGTATTTCAATAGACTATCGGTGGCTTGCTTCAATGGCGGCTCGCATTTCTCTTTGACGCGGATAAGTTTTGGTGTACTGGTAGATAAAAAAATGAAGCTTAACCAATAGCATTTATACATAGTCACTTCATATGAGTAATCTGAATTTTCCCCGAAAATTTCTCATGATCTTACACGAGAGCCATTCATTCTATTGCATTATTCGTACCAGAATTTCTTGCCCATTTTCCTCCACCAAACTTTTAAAACCAGCAGTACTACGACGATGAAGAAGACCAGATTGATGATATTCTGGGGCGCAGTGTTTTCATAACTATGTCGGCAAGCAATGATAAGCRRATAYATGAACCCACTAGWCCGGGTCTGTTTTTCCTTCATCTACAAAAAGAAAATGATAATATACTGTATTCATCTCTCGCTAGTAGTTGAATTGTAGGCAAGTATCTTATTCCTACTTAGAACGACCAAGTTATTATGAATTGCGGGATGCATTTGATTTGTAGGATAACGTACGAATCTATATAGCATACTAGATGTTATTTTAAAACTCCCGCTCAATTTGTGCATCGATCAAAGACCTTAATTGAGCGGGAGCCKAKCGTYACGCTAAGTGTGACAAGAAACCAATATCAATATAAAGGTGCCCGAAATAGAACGTTATATAATATGAGTCGACATCTTTTTTAGATTGCTAATAAAGCCTATAAAAGGTTTTTTTCTTACTTAGGTAATATTTTTGGGATTTTTTTTTTTTTTTGTGCATTTTAAAACTCCCGCTCATTTTGTGCATCAAAGACCTTAATTGAGCGGGAGCCTAGCGTCACGCTAAGTGTGCTGACAAGAAAACAAAGATGCCCGAAAAAAAAACGTTATAATATGAACCAAATTCTTTTTTTAGATTGCTAATAAAATTATAAAAGGTCTTTCCTTACTTAATTAGATACTGTTTTGGGGATTGTTCTTGTACATTTTAGACCTAGATGGATGGTTTGAGTGAGTGAAAAATTGTAGGGCGGATATTTCGAGTACCGCAATGTATAAGAGATGCGCACACAACAACAAAAAATGGAAGAAAGGAATGAAGAAAGAAAGAAAAAGCAAATCATTCACGCCATATACCTCGAGTTTCCCTTGGTGTAATATACCCTCCAACAMGCTTGTGGAGTCGTTGCTAAGAATAAACGGTGTGTAGTCACGGAGATACTCTCGAGTCCACCAGGCTTTGTTACTAGGTCTGTAGACGTGTCAAAAACAAATATATATAAATCATTTTTAATCGTATGAGGAAGTAGCTGATCTCATTAAAGAGTGCTCAATACACACATAGTGTAGAGCTAGTTATATATAGTACCAAAGAGGCAATATTTTGCTGTTACTCCGAGTTTCGTGCTACGCACTCATCAGACAGTATTTAATTTGAATACTTTCTGATGAGTGCGTAGCAGAGCAACAGCAAAATCTTGCCTCTTTGATATTATATATAAATCATTTTTATTATGGACTTAGATTCCAAAAACTTGACTTGACTTACCGAGAATTATACACCAAATCCGTAATGCTAGTAGYGTTTTGTGTAAAATGGTAAAGATACAACTGGGTCCTGATGTATTTCGGAGGAGAATTCGCAAACTGGGGGTTCTCCCCCATCAAGCGAAGTACGTCCTTTTCTCCTTGAAGAAGTTTATAAAGCAAGCGAAGAAACCATGGATTGGACTCAAAGGACTCGAGAGCAGCGAACCACATTTGCCAGTCAAGTCGAGGTTGGTGAGGTGCTATAATATTGTAGTATTAAATAAATTACATAAAGAGATGATGATCATTAATTATAATAGCTAATACACATCATTTTTCTGAAAATATATACGATTTATTATTTCGAGTCATATACTGCATGCCAACCCTGAAATTATTATGACGTCAATTTTTAGGTATACCTGTGAATGGTGGTGGCTGGTAGAGATTGCCTGGTTTATAACGAAAATTATATTCCTGTAAAAACAAAAAGGAATGGATGAGATCGATTTGACGCATCGTCTTGGGGTGAACTAATGTGATTTTGATTTGATGAAATAACAAAGAGAGACAGGCAATGCAAAAAACAACGAAGATGTCAAGAGAAGAATAGGCATTGTTTAACATAATCCTACAATTCTTGTTTTTATTGTCTCGATCAATCACAAACTTTGCTCTGATGGTAGTGGTCGACCCATCGTCTTTGCTGTTGCTGTTGCTATTGAAGTTGTTGCTGTTGTTGTTACTGCTGTTATTGCTGTTTTGATTGCTGCTCAGTGCATGTCTTTGTTGTTTTTTTGTTTCGTTGCTGTTGTTGTTTGTTGCTGTTGTTGTTGTTGTTGTTGCTTATATCGCTGTTGTTGTTGTCGTTATTGGTGCTATAATTGTGTTTTGATTGCTGCTGCATGTCTTTGTTTGTTTTTTTCGTTGCTGTTGTTGTTCGTTGCTGTTGTTGTTGTTGCTTTTGTCGGCGATGTTGGTGTTGTCGTTATTGCTGCTATAATTGTTCAACCATACATACCATCCACGTGCCATTGGTAGCGTTGCTTCCTAATATGATGATCTCTGGTCGACCACCAACACCGGTCATACTAAAACAGATCAGAATACATCACTGTTGTCCAACAACGGCTACATGATTTTCTCTCTTTCTGCCCTAATCTAATTTCTACCATTCTCTGTTTTCTACCTTCGTATCCTACACATTTAAAGTCATATGTAGTTTTTTTTATATCAAACCTTCTAAATAAGCCATAAGGATGGGCTATTTCCAGGTATTTAGTGTCCTGGTACCACTTACGAATTACCACAGGTAACCCAGACTTAGCTTGTCGGCTGACATCAGTAAGAGGRWCCTGGATATAAAARAAGTCAAAAATAGTTGAAGAGCCGAGTTGCATAGTATGTACTGTTTATTTTCTTCTWATCACAAAGGTTTTTGGACTACTGCGTGCACGTTCTAGATGTCATTTTCCATCACAAAGTTCATAACCTTCATGAAAGAAATAACCTTACCAAACTAACGGCAAAAAGCCACAGGGTGACCAAACTCATCGCAGTACATTGTATCAGTGAAGAATTCCTTTGTATTTTTGACTTTGATTGAAGAAAAATTCTGTAGAACGAAATTTCATGCGGAAAAACATATAAATATGAATTATTGTTAAGAAAATCTTGAATGAGTGACAATATTGTGGTGGTACCAATCTTACGAACCGTGTAAAGGCTTCCAGGACTTCAATCATCAATGAAAAGAAACCTAGCCACATGCCGGCTACTGTTGTCATGGTTACGAATGACGTAAAATCATTTGGAGAAAAGGCTGAAAGTAATACAGATAATTACATTAACGTTGTCCCATTGTAAAGACAGAAAGACGTCAACAACAAAGTCGTGTATGTCATGAGCGAACACACGGACGAATGAATTGATAAAGGGAATAAATGAATGCATGAATGAATGAATACACGTGATCAAACATACCTATCCAGCTCATCAGTTTGCCATCTGTTAACTCAAAATAAAACCATTTTTTCACTAGATACAACATGGCTCCAATAACGCTGACGAAGGTTGCAGCTCTCAAGGAGCATTGGAGCATTTTTGCTGTTTTGCTGTTCAGAAATTCTCGGTATTTTCTTGATTTRGGAATATAGCGGTCAATGATGATCTCGAGKAGTTGTTGTGATGTCGATAYTTGAGTTGACTCTAGAAAAAAACAATTATGAATATTTTTTAATTTCCTTCCTTCCTTCCTTCCTATTTTCTCCCTTTTTTCAATTACGTTTACCTTCTTTCGGTTTCTTCTCTTGGTCGACAGGAAGATGACTCGTTTCAACGAAATTCTCCTGATCACTGGTTGGCGGACAATCAATGGCGATATCACCGGGTGTTTCGTCTGTTTTACCGGCTACAACGAAACAAGCAACAATGATAAGCAGTACAAATAGTTGTCTCTGACTTCTTGATCCTTAAAGGCCCACCTATATCCAAGGACCTTTGCGCGATTTTTTCACATACGAAAATACGCGATCGCCATCTTTAAGTTTTGAACCAATTCAATTGACAAAAGCTCATTTGCAAAACAAAAGAAGCAATCGCAAAGGTTCATGGGTGCACGTGGGCCTTTAACTGCTGAGTGAAAAACAGTGATCAAAAGTCACACCTTTGCTGTCTGGGGGCGCTGTTTGCTTTGTCCCACATGACCTGGTGCACGGTGATTGACAGCTGTATCTAGTTGTGATGGCGTTGTCGTCTAGCAGCGAGATACACAGCACAATCGTCAGAAGGTTGAAAAAGTTGTAATTTCCAGTTATCAGAATCAACAACTGTAAAAGAACCTGAAATGAAAAAAAGAACACTTGATCAAGCATGTCCTAGTACGTCATCACACTGGAAAAAAGCGCGCACTTCAAAAGGTTGTAAATTTGCTTTAAAATATCATATTTACAACAAATTTACATCCTTTAAAGTGCACGATTTTTTGCAATGTCAGTCGGTATTCATCAGCGTCCTTCCTCCCCCTGTGGGATACATTTATGAGAACTATTCCCCGCAGGGGAGGGGAGGGGTGCAAAATGTTTTTGTAGCATTAWTACTGGTTGATTCTTCTGTGCAAAATTGATTTATTTTAACCGAGTATTTATCAGTAGGCATCATCAAGGAAACTTACTTGTCCACAATATGCAAAAATTCTCAACGACCGAACGGGAAYAAAGAACAGAAAAGGAAGTCCAATTTCGATCACATACCTACAAAAAATAAGTATAATTGCAGCAAGGAATCAGTTTATATTAATGAAGAGACCAATATATATAAAACAGGCTTAGCATGTTTAGTCCGTAAGGACATGGAATTCTATACGTACTGGCTCCAAATGACCAAGAAACGTATTTATATAAACACACTTACGTCGTTACTGTGCTCAATCTGTGGAACCATTTAGGAAGTTTCTGGAAGTACCAAGCCACAGGTGTTGGGATGCACTGAAATCAACAAGAAAGTGATGTCATTTTACTCTCGATGACGTCCTTTTAACTAGTCATGACGTCATTAATGGCTATGCAAGGCGGTAGAGGATATATGTCATGACGTAATTTCATCAGCTTCTCCAATAATAATAATAATAATAATAATAATAATAATAATAATAATAATAATAATAATAATAATAATAATAATAATGTGCAATTTATATAGCGCAAATATCCATACGTTCATATGCGCTTTAAGAAAGTAAACAATATAACAATGATAATGACATTGACTTCAATACTAATACATTTTTTTAAAGATGTGTGAATCGATGACGTCATTTCACGATGACGTAATTTAGTTTAGAAAGTGACGTAAATTATGACGTCATTACCTGTGATTCGTAGTGCCAGTACATGGCAGTCAGGCTCCACCATGTTGGATCCATGTACGACAGTTTAACGACACCTGAGGCGAACATGAGCCGGAACAAAAGCCATTTTATCAAACACAGGGATACCGTGTCGTGGTGTCGMACCATATCCCTGCAACCAATCCATAGTGAGTATTTAAAAAAAATATCAATGCGTTTTTCCAATAATGTCTCATTTCCCACCTTATTCTATTGCATTTMAATAACTTCCATTTCCATGGGGATAGTTTTATATTCCATGGCGCGATGAAGATTGTCAGGAATCCTGTTTCTAAAAGTAGCCCGTCCCTGTGGAAAATCCACAAGTTGAAGTTAGCTCGTGGATGCTCTATGACTTCAATCTTATTACAAAATAGAAACAATTTCCTTACCACTGGTAATACAAAAATATTTGACCAGCCTAGAAAAAGCAATTTAGAAAATATGRATTATTAGTACCGTACCTAGMAAGTTTGTTTTGTCTGGAGAAAAGCCTGCAAGAARCGATCARGGATGGTTGGTGCAAKAGTAGCGAAGAACGGAAGTTTAGGTCTTAGTTTTTTGTCTTTGAAATTCTCAGTGTTAGCGTTACAGATAGCATATTAACTATTATCACAAGTCAAAATGTTTAGAAAATACCAACTTTTCTCTGTATTTAAATAGTACGCTATCTCAGTATCATAGCACAAAACTGCAACCATTTCCGACGCACTTTAGATCGAAGAAACAAATCAAGCTATTCTCAGTCATGCACACTTTTGTCGTGAATACCTGATACAGTGAAAAGTACAACAGCCATAACACGAAGAAGTTGATGCAGTCTCGACATCTTTGTGATACTAGAAGCACCATAGATAGTACTATACCAACTAAGCACAGGAATTCCATGCCTGATGATGCATCAAGACCAAGCCAAGGCGTTAACCACAGTAGCGTTGGCTTGGCGCGAAGAAGGCTGATAAGAGAATAGTCTAAAATTGAAGAAAATGTGTTCATGAATTTCATATCAAGGACGGTCAAATTAAACAGTGTATTCATATAGCAACCGACATGTTTTCTTATTTGATGGATGTGGCGAAATAACGTGCAAGGCCCGCATCGCCTAGACATGAGTAGWTCGTGCGCCTCCTAAGAATTGAATATCTAAACGTCTAAAGGACCATCACCTACTAGCATCCCTTACAATCTTTTGTTTATGCTTTATCTTTTGTTTTTTCTTTATGAAAATAAAGAGACACATCGTAATCTAAACAAAATCTAAACTTTTATAGCATGGATAGCTGCGTTCCTATCCACACTCCAATGCTGGGACTAAACCTCTTTTAAACTCTATGAATGTAGACGTTGTAAGCTTTTTCTTTTTAAAACTGACGGATGGAAACGGATCGGATTAACGAATGCTTGAAAGAAGTTATCCCACATTTTCACACACAAAAAAGAAATCACGACCGCATTGAATGACGGTTGGTTATGCCCCTTTGAACTTAAAAAAGATCATTAATAGAAGCGAGAGAYCATTAAGAAATCGTTTATAGAAACRAGATCGATTCAGGTATACCTTGGCATTTTTGGCATGATTTTCTACAGTTTATTGTCATCCATCTTGTGTTTCTGTTACACTCGCCCTTAAGTGCCCATCGTATACACTCGGGATGTTTATCTCTGCATGCAGAAACTACGAAAAAAAAATAGCGATAAAAAAAATGAAAACCAGCAAAACATTTGATACAAATTAGGGCGGAAATTAGTCTCATTTGCAGCCATTTTTTATAGCRCGCCATTTTAAATTCTGCGGGGGCTAGTGAAGGTTATAGGTGCGGTAAAAACTGAAGAAGACAAGGTACTCAAGTGGCTCTCCATGAATATAAACTGAAGAAAAAGCATTGTAATAATGAGTACGTGTCTTGAGCTGATCGAGTTACAAGGGACCATGCGATGGAATTATAGAATGGCGTCTTATTTTCTGTTTTGGATGATTTTTAAAGTTTAAAAACTAAAAAACGATTGTAGTGATACTTACAGTCCTTTAGGTAGCTGCTGACAGGTAGAATCCCTTTRTCACCATAAAGACCTGCAAAAAAAACATTTCCGCTAGAAATACTTGATTACAAGTTATTCAACACTAATTYGAGTTAAACTTACATGAAATGTCATGAAAATCAAATATCAAAGTCACAAAATTACTACATAGTGAGCTTTTTCAGAAAAACTGGACTGAAATGAAATTTTTATGAAAAGACTTCTTTTATTGTAAAGTACGTCAATGATAATACAAAAACTAGCCGGACTTAAAAAGGAAATTTTACTTTAAAAGAGTATAAATACATATATAGGTTTACCTGGAATTTGAATGTAAAGAGATGTAAAGGCGAAGAGATATATAACTGCGAGGCCCCAAAGAAAACCCTGGCGAACGATGGACTGAGGAACCATGACCGGCGAAGAAGAATTCACAAATTTCTTATAAATTTCGCGTCGTCCTTTGAAACGATAGTCCTTCATTCGTGTAAATGTATTGTCATGCAATAGTATATTTTCATTTTAAACCTTTAGAAAGAGTTGAACTTTAGCATCAAAACAAAATATTTTACATTCTCTGAGTGTATTTCAAGTTATAAAATTCAGAATTTTACTTCCGGTCAGCGGCTTGAGGAAAAGAATAGAGGGGGAAGGACTAAAAAACAAATAAATAACAAATCCTTAACTAAAACAAACCAGTTAAGAGAAAAAAATTTGGAAAAATAAAAAAAACATTTTATGAACGCCAGACTTACGCAGTCTATCATTGCACTTATGATAATATAGAGACGCAAAAAAATATGATAAAAGCCAATTATTGTACACACTTTTGAGTCCCTAAGTTCAATTTTTTTTCTATATTCCTTTTTGCATATTCTGATAYATTATTTCAAATCTCACCTACAAAAAACCCCGCAGTCATYTTGTGTCAGCGGACTTTCTTATAAAGCGCATGCGCGCAACWTTGGAAAAAARGSSGGRAAAMMAAACGATYACAACAAGATGCYGTAACATTAAAAAATATGTAAAAAATCACTGAAAAAACAGCTAAATCATGCCTACTGCAACTCAATCAGCTCCTGGGAGTGAAAGGTTCTCAAGTATTAACTTTTTCCTGCAACCGGTTCGCGATYTAGCGAAAAATTGGGATATCCAAGTTGCTCCTTTGCTTGAAGAATATTTGATCGAGGTATGCTTTTAACCGTACTCATGTAGATTTCACCTTGGCCAAGCTMAATAGATTAATTATTTCTGAAAATTGGTTAAAAAGAAAAGTAGAAAATCTTTCTTAACATGTCCATTCTTTGGTATCGCAGCTCGATAAGATCCAGATCTCTTTTGATGGAGGCTCGACTACGATGAACTTTGCCGAGGCAGCGCTGTTGATACAAGGGTCCGCTTGTGTTTATAGTAAAAAGGTACGAACTTCCGATTCTTTTACAATGTGATTTTTAGTGTGTATAAATTATATAGAGCTATATTCATGAAAAATGCAGTTTATGATGAAATCAGGAACATCTAAGTAAAACACCAAAAAACTTCATCGTTTTCCGATCGAATTCCATGAAGATTTTTGAGCACTGACAAATCTTCATGTAAATTGATCGGAAATCGATGAAAATCGATAGAGATTTCTAGAGTGTTTTCGCAGGGTTGGTTTCAGGGGAGGAGAAAAGGAGGAATTTCCCCCATCTTTTTCTCTCTTTTGTGTCCAGTACTCTAGATTTCTTATTGTATAATTTTTGATAATGACCATAAAAAGTTCAAAATACAACCGTATACAATTTTAATTGCCTTCTTTTGACAAACACGTCACAATATTGGGAATCTTGATGCTAAAAAGTACACTCTTGGAAAAATATTGTTAGCATTTTAAAAATATATTTATATTTATATCACTAAATCCCTCCCCTCTCTTCTGGAAAATTTTTGGATCCACCCCTTTGTTGACTAACTAACTAATTTCTTCATGATTCTTTTGCATTTTGAAAAAAGTAGATTTGTATGATGTACAGGTAAGTCTTGGATTCATTTGTATGACGTCACATTGATGACGTGATTTAATACTGTATGTAAGGACCTCCTTGCCCTCCAACGATGAACATGTAAAACATAATGTCTGCACTCTATTAATAATGTTCTCTAATTCCAATTTTTTTTGTCATAGGTTGAATATCTTTATGACTTGGTTTATCGAACATTAGATTTGATATCCAGCAAGAAGTGAGTACACAGCATTGTTAATAAACATGTATTCCGCATGCTTTTGTAAGAATTGTCTCTTTTTTTCTAATTTCAGGCGTCTCCAACAAGCATCTTCAGTAGACAATCAAGGGAATGACAAAGATATCACACGTGAACAAGAAGAAGAGGTACAAGCTAGYTARCTAGCAAGAAACATGTTTGCCTTTCTACTTTATGTATAGTTTACAACATGAGCGGCCGTGTTGTATGGGAATTATGTAATTCCCATACAAGACGGACGCGAATGTTGTAAACGACTTATAAAACTCCAACACAAATTAACATGAATTACAGTGAGATAAATGACGAAAAATGACAAATAAGGTAACTGCTGAGTTTAGTCCSTATTAAGCATGCGCAATTTACTGCAACACAAAACATTTTGAATAATCAAGCCATCTGTTGCATAAGTGAGTTCTGTTATCCGTCTTTGATTGCTTCAAAACCTAGTGAAGGTCTATGATGCGACACTAAAACTGAGACCTTTGCTAGTGTTGGGTTGTCTCAATGGTGACGACCGTGTTGTAAATCTGATGTGGTTGTATCAGATTTACAAGGTCAATCACCTGATTAAATGGTCAGCCCTTATTGGAGCAATAGCTTATGCATTATTAATAAGTTTTATAATATATGAATATTGAGTTACTTGGTCTTGTTGTTCTTTGTTTTGTATTCTTATGTTCTTGAACTTTTTGTTCTTTTTTGTGTTATTTATTCTTGTTCTCTTTTCTCTTATTTATTCTTGTTCTCTTGTTCTCTTTATCCAATTTCTTTATGTTCTCCTTCTCTTACATCACATTTTCTTGACACAATTACTATTCCATACAAACTTGTGATATTTTTACAGTTTCTATCTCTTGATGACCTACAAGAATGTAAAAATATTGATCTAAAAGAAGAAGATGAAGTGACTGCCAGTGAGGTATGAAAATGCTAACTTCCATTTAGTTGTCTAAATATTTCAGTACTGGGTTGTTCAAATTGCTCAAAGTTCAATTAACAATAATTCTAGGCTAACTCTTAAATATAGCTTATGAGGTTAGCTCTAATAATGTTTATTGAGCTTTGAGTAACTGAATTCATCAGGAATGCATACAATATGTGTTAGATAATATCCTAGTGCCAATGTTTTTCAAAAGTGTTCAAAGTTCAATTAGCAATAATTCTAGGYTAACTCTTAAAATGAGGTTAGCTATCTCATTGGGCTTTGAGTAACCACGTTCATCAGGAGAACATGCAATATATTTTAAATAAAGTCAGATATAAAGCCATTTGTTATAAACTGTGTGGTTTTTCTATATAAATAGGGTTCAAGAATAATCCCAAGAACACCTCTTGCATTGATACCTATTGGGGAGAGAGACAARAAGGATGTTTTGTTGAGGTTGGGCAGAACTATGTTACTTTATGATGCTGTTGGTTATATAAAAAAGAAGAAAATWACCTTTTWWTGTCTTTTGTAGCCACACTGGAGAGGTTCTTGGAAGCAGAAATGATTTCAAGGTACTGTACTGTATGAATTATTACAAAGTAGCTACTTTATCTATAATAATAATAATAAAACTTCTTTGTGAAATGATAACATTAACCTTGTGTGCACAACACCCTCAAAACAGACCATGTCCATTATTTTCAATATGTATTTTCAATCTTTAGATGAACACATGTACAGTACATGCTTCAGGCGCTTTGTTGCTTGACCTTGGGAACCTTATGTTGGCGGAAACATCATTTAGACGGCTGCCAACATCAACTCCTCAAACTTGCTTTGATGCACAAGGTAAGMGGCACAAAGAAGCTGCTTTTGGCAATGGAGTGAATGTGTACAGTGTATATATGAAGTGTTACATTGGTTGTAAGTTTGTCTTTMATTGTACTATGTAGGAACTGCTTTGCAATCTGTCAGAGAGCCATACAGACCATCTGAACCCTTACAACCAAAACAAGAAATCGATGGTAAAAAAACCTACAATAGTCTTCTTCACGGTTCCCTGTGCCATCTTGAAAGGTAGCCGTACCTTTACATCAAAGCGAGACAATCTTTGAGTGTGCAATGATAGAAACCTTCTTTCATACCCACAGACAATTATTCACAGGTATCTATCAATGCACGCTCAACTGTYGTCTTGCTTCGATGTAAAGGCACAGTTACCTTTCAAGATGGCTGATGACATGGTCTTACAGTCCCTCCCCCTTCCCCCCACAATCAATGTTGTCCTTGTACACGATGTCATGGAACTGWAGCATAAAAAATGAAAATAGCCACCCAGCACGATATTCTACCGAGTAGTTGTCATGTTATCAAATTGTAACTTTGTAACAGTAACATGTTGCAGTGTCCCACATAAATATCTAGGATTGCAGGCTAATAAGATATTAGCCATTTGCTATTGACCTAGCATTGTCTCATAGTCACAGTTATTCATTTAACTCACTCGCTTATTCTCTTGAAGAAGCAGAAGTTGATATGCCTAACGAACTTAACGATGACAACCATGGTTATAACGATGATAATCATGATGACTATGATGACAATGACATGTATGATGATAACGATGTCGATGCCAATCAGGTAATAATCTTAAAATCAAAAATAAGAGCTCTGGACAATGGACAATGTATGGTCAAAATTTTATTGGACTAATCAAATCTTCCTGTAATTGGACCTTTTCTGAGCGATGCTTAATTTSACCAGTCAAACTTGAGACTATACATTATGTCCAACCACAAAGCTATTTTTTTGCCTTCCTTTGTGATATGTGATACATTTCAAATAAGACATACAATTGATGGTTTTCAACCATTCCCAGGAGAGAAAGTTAAACAAAAGATGTCCACCATTGCTGGTGGGTGGACCTGACAAAAGAAAACCACCACCGTGACTTGTTTTGCTCACTCTCATGGGAATGGTTGAAAACCATCAATACCGATATTATTGTCTACTTTTTTTGCAAACACACTAATATTTCTTTTTTAGACAAGACTTAATGTAGTTTACTTTGTATTAATTTGTTTAAATTTGTGAGAAGCAGGAGGATGTGCCAGAGGAGGAAGAACARGAGAGAATGCAGTTGAGGAGAAGAGATAAACAACAACAACTACAGATGCACAAACAAATGCTAAAGGTAAATACTAAATGTTGTTTTCATGTTTTATTGTATATAATTGTCATGCTTTCCTTTCATTGTACTTCTTTTTTTCCTTTAATCTWTTTTAGTTAAAAACAYACACAACTTTTTAAGTTTTTTTKTWAWWWTWKTRTMWYWTKTG